ATCCAAGGAATGGTGTTCCAAGATCTTCTGCCATTTTCCGACCACCTCCCGTAGTGGCAGCAAATATCACTGATTCACCCTATGAACGAATTAACACACTTGTGAGTATGACATCTTCTTACGCCCATATAAACTATCAAGTCATTGGTGAAGCCAATTCGTTAGAGTTGAAAAGAAGCTACCCATTGACGCATATTCTCGATAAAACGCAACAAATAGAACAATAATGCAAAACATTGATATTCGTCTCATACCTTTAATGAGCAAACAATTGTAATATATATAAGGACTTGTTATTAAATTATCCTTCTTTCGCATCACGTTTCCCCAGACATACTCACCCCACACTTTGGACACACGAATCCAGCCATGTTTTCAACCACCCCAATTATCGGTACTTTTACTTTACGACAAAAATCGATCTCCTTCCTCACATCTTGCAATGCGACTTCTTGAGGCGTTGTGACAATTACAGCACCAGTAATGCCTGTTTCTTTCAGATATTGTATAATGGAGAGGTGTTCATCGGAAGTACCTGGTGGTGTGTCAATCAAGAGGTGATCAAGGTCCCCCCAATCAACATCTTTGACAAACTGTTTTATTAACCCTATCAATTTACCGTAATGAAGGTGAGAAACACGAGAAAGGAGCGTGAATGATAATAAAGAGAAGCAAGATGTTATAGGCTGCAAACAACAATCTTCTGCACACACGTATTTCTTCGTCTTACCATTTTTCTTGGGCCCACGCCAAATAACAGCATCGTCGGAATCAGGCAACATAAACCCAATTGACATGACACCCAGATTATCCGAAACATACACCGGAGACCATCCAGATAGCGACTGATGAATCTGTTCACCCTCAAGGCCCATTATTTTCGGTATCGATGGCCCACAAACGTCTATATCCATTACACCAACCTTGAAGGTGAGAATAGATAGAGAGAATATGAGTGGGCTAGAATAAGAGAGTAATGTGTGCATGGACGAGCGTGACTTACCTGGGTGTTTTCATCCTCAGCAAAAGCGAATGCTAATTGAGAAGTAAAAGTTGATTTGCCCACTCCACCTTTTCCCGATAAAATTAAAATCTTGTGCTTCACATTTGACATTCGCTCGTTTATCAACGGGATGGCTGTAGAGTTAAAGCACTTTTTTTAAATAATCGGGTATCGGACTAAAAACTCTTCTCAACGTCTTTATAATTTGCACGTAAGGTCATAATTTAGTACTTCATTCAAGAATTACGTTGAAATATAGCACCTACCTGGATCAGGGCCCTTTGGTGCAGTAGCGCAGATAGATTGATTCGGACAGCCTGCGCACACGGCTGCCTTTCCTGCCTCTTCTGTTTCTGGGCCCTACAAGAATATGGATTCGGTATGTAAAAGACGTGGGGAACAGCAAATATCGAGCAAATCTCTGTGCAAACTTACAGGGCAGTGTTCGGGTGCGTTTTCTATTACCATTGTACAAATACGCGTTAGTATTAGTATTAGTAAGGAATTTGAATTTTGCTTCTTATATGCGCCACATAAATTTCGGGGTCTCAAAACTTTTGCCCCCTGTTAGCGAAAAACTTATTTAACAAACTAAGTTAGTTCTCAACTATACCTATCTATATTAATATCCGTTTCGATGATATACAAATACATTGTGACTAACATTTATAATACTATCAATCATTACTACTTATATCCTAGGCAGAATTGATAATGACACTTTATAAATTATTTTTTATCCATTAACATGTTTTAGTTGGGGATTGTGCCTTCTGTCCCCAGAATAAAAAGTATAGAATTCAATCGAACATGTTGCTAATCCCGTCAAATTAGTAAAGATATGATGTCCTTGTAACCTCTACACTCCTGCATGTCGTGTTTTTATCTTCTAATCTATGGTAAATTCTCGAGTTCTTTCTGTAGAGTTTGCTTATGCATGCAATTAAAACCGTTATTGGGAAAAATAACCGAGTCATAAGCCTTATTTATATAGTTAACGAGTTATACTTATCCAAGTCTGCATTCTCGATATTAAATTTATAAAATATATTAACCGTTATGGGTTCGAAAAACCCTCTCTGTAGGCAATTGGGGGTATATAAGGCCAAGCTAGAAATATTGTAAGCCGGTAAACCTATTCCTGTCTTGGTCCTTAGTATTAATAGGAAGTAAAGCTAATTTTTAGTGCCGCACGTATCCTATAATCTCCAGTAGATTAATCTGGAGCCAACATATTCAGCAATATGATCGAATATTTGGACAAGAAATCTTCCGAACATTAAACTTGGATATCAGGCTATTAGATTATCAATAGAATTTTCTTGTAGGTCAGTAGATATCTACACAACGTACACTGTTTGAATCATGGCCGCTATAGCTATGAACAATATTGACTAAAGGAAGTTTTCGGATACCAAAAACCGACTAACCTGCTCTCTATGGTACTAGTACGTGAGTTTGTAAATTAGTATGCTGTGTCATGTAACACGAATATATTTGGTAAACCAAACAAACTGTGACTAACCTAAAATGCGTAGAAGACATGAACAGTGCACTTACTTCTTCAGACGATCAACATGAACTTTTCTGATACACTTTACTCGGAATGGCTGGAAAAGAATGTCCAGAATGGAAATGTTCCATATTATTCTTTCGACGACTTTGTTGACAAAGCATGCATTAGCTATGATGGTTGCGGAACGATTTTCAAAGCGAGGATTAAAATATCTGGTACAGTGGTAGCGTATAAATTTATTGATGCAAATAATTACCGGGTGGACAGCGCAATACTGGAAGACTTTGTCGAAGAGGTTGGTAATCAAAATAGGCCGCATGGCTGATATTGCGATATAATGAACTAACCTATAATAATACCTTAGTTGATTGTTCACCGCAAAATTGGTGTCCATCCCAATATTATGCGGTTCCTCGGAGTGAGCAAAGGTAAATTTTGCGATACTATTCATTTTATTCAATTACATAGTTTTGTGTATTGTATTATGAATGTAACTTTACTCTAACTTGATTAAAATAGAATCGACTAATATATCTAACAAATATCTGATGGTCTTCGAACATGCCGACAGCGGTTCATTACGGAATTATTTAAGCGAACTTCTTATTGAATTGAATTGGCCTGCCAAGTGCAAGCTTGGCATGGATATTATTAATGGATTAAAGCACTTGCACAACATGGGTATCTTGCATAAGGATTTGGTGAGTCGCTTAATGCACTTTCTTACTTAGTAAGACACACCCAAAGGATTATGCTAATTGATTGCCCTCTTTTCACCATTCAAAGACTTCTGATAACGTGCTGATCAACGCAGGCGTGGCCAAATTAACAGGTTTTGGTTTATCAGAATTGCTCTTAAAACAGAAGAATTATCGAAATCGTGGAAATTACGCATATCTTGACAGTAGAATTTTTTACGGCAATATCTCCAAGCGAGATGAAAAATCGGATATATTCAGCTTCGGAGTGGTCTTGTGGGAAATCTCCAGCAAAAGACGTTCTTGCGATGAACTTCAGACTGCTGACGAAATTCGAAATTATAGATTGAATGGTAGCCGGGATGCTCCAGTTGTAGGAACGCCGGAAGAGTATATCAATTTATATTCAGAATGCTGGGATGATAATCCAGAAAAACGACCATCATGTGAGCAAATCTATTACCAACTGATGACGCTCCAGCAAACAAAGGACTGCTACTTTCAAGATTTGAATGTTGATATAAAAGGTTCAATAGTAGAGACTGCAAGCCAAAATCAAATTCAAGACCATGCATTTGTTGACGAGCTGTTAAACGTCTATTGCAAAGCACTGCTAACAGGAAAAAATCAACAACGTATGGTTGAAACAATCAAAGATTGGTTAAATGAACATCAAACTTATGATCCATTGATCAAACTCAAATCTCATCATTGTTTTTGGTTAACTGGATTTTTCTATGCAAACGGAATAATGACCAATAAGGATATCGGTCAAGCCATCTATTGGTATCAGTTGTCAGCAGAAAAAAACAATGTTATGGGACAATGCATTCTTGGTTATTGCTATGAATATGGAATTGGAGTAGAAAAAGATGTTCAAAAGGCTGTTGAATTATACCAGAAATCATCTGAACAAGGTCTTGAAGCTGCACAGAATAACCTTGGCAATTGCTATCAGAATGGAATTGGAGTAGAGAAGGATGCTATAAAAGCAGTTGAGTTGTATCAAAAAGCAGCTGAGCAAGAGCATGCTGGTGCACAAAAAAATCTTGGTTATTGCTATCAGAATGGAATTGGAATAGAAAAAGATCTTGAAAAGGCTGTTGAATTATTTCAAAAAGCTTCTGAACAAGGTCTTGCAACTGCACAGAACAGTCTTGGTTATTGCTATAGATATGGAATTGGAGTAGACAAAGATATTCAAAAGGCTGTTAAATTGTATCAGAAAGCATCTGAACAAGGTTTTGCAGCTGCACAGAATAACCTTGGTTATTGCTATGAGAATGGAATTGGAGTAGAGAAGGATGCTATAAAAGCAATTAAGTTGTATCAAAAAGCAGCTGAGCAAGGGAATGCTGGTGCACAAAAAAATCTTGGTTATTGCTATCAGAATGGAATTGGAGTAGGAAAAGATCTTGAAAAAGCTGTTGAATTATTTCAAAAAGCTTCTGAACAAGGTCTTGCAGCTGCACAGAATAACCTGGGCAATTACTATTGGAATGGAGTTGGAGTAGAAGAAGATATTCAAAAGGCTGTTGAATTATACCAGAAAGCATCTGAACAAGGTAATGCTGCTGCACAGAACAGTCTTGGCTGTTGCTATCTGGGTGGGATTGGGGTAGAAAAAGATATTCAAAAGGCTGTTGAATTATACCAGAAAGCATCTGAACAAGGTTTTGCAGCTGCACAGACTAGTCTTGGTTATTGCTATCAGACTGGAATTGAAGTAGAAAAAGATGGTCAAAAGGCCATTGAATTATACCAGAAAGCATCTGAACAAGGTTATGCTGCTGCACAGCATAGTCTTGGTAAATGCTATAGAGATGGGATTGGAGTAGAAAAGGATATTCAAAAGGCTGTTGAATTATTCCAAAAAGCATCTGAACAAGGTTCTTATAAAGGACAGCATAGTCTTGGTAAATGCTATCAGGATGGGATTGGAGTAGAAAAAGATATTCAAAAGGCTGTTGAATTATACCAGAAAGCATCTGAACAAGGGTTTGCTTCTGCACAAAATACATTTGCATTGTGTTATTTAGATGGAATTGGTGTAGAAAAAGATGTTATAAAAGCGGTTGAACTATTCCAAAAAGCAGTTGAACAACGGTGTGATTCAGCACAATATAATCTCGGTCATTGTTATGAAAATGGAATTGGAGTAGAAAAAAATGTTCAAAAAGCATTAGAATTATATCAAATGGCATTTGAACAAGGAAATGTTCAAATACAAGAAATGCTTAAACATATTATAAAAGATAAAAAGGCAGTAAATAAATCAGTTTTAACGCGTATTAAAAATTTGTTTATACGACAGTAAATTGCATTTTATAAAGCCAGTTTTGTTGTTATTATTATGTCGCCTTTTATTATATTTATATTGAACATAAATTTGACAAGTATTTTTATTTAGTGTTGATATCTACCTCATGTGTTATAAATAAATACTTGGTTATAAATCTCAAATCGGTTTTGGCGTAACTCGGTCAAAAATTGTCAACCATTTTCTATTATTTAAAATCTCTGCTGACATACTATGTAAATTTGTGATAAGCAGTAAGTCGGACAACCTTCTTTCCATGCAATATTAATATGTAAATTACTTCCAACAAGTTGACCTCACGTGACATTAGGTGCATTATTGTTACTTTAGTACAATGATTAATGCTCTAGAAACAAGCGATAATTATTGCAGACGTCCAAGATATGAAGACTAAAATAAATAAATACAAGCGTTAGAACAAGCTAATATACACCTACCCCCCAAAGTCCCACCGTTTCATCACCGGACTTAGACATACTATGTACCGACATTTATACATGAATACCCCCCCCTACCCTGCGGCAATTTGAATGCCCAAATTTTGATTTTATACCCGGGTATTACAATAGTTACGGTATTCCCTACGGTGCCGGAAGTCATAATCGACGTATGACTTTAAAAATTGACCAGTAATTCTCTTCTTCATGATAAGGTCTACAAAGTTGCCAGTTAGATTTTGGTTTATAAAAAGTTATAAGCATTTAAACTTGAAACAAACCACGTGAAAATCGATCCTGTGACTTAAATTTTATTGGTGGACTCGGGCCAGCACATACTAATGTCTTCTTCCTCGATTATCCCATGATTCGCACTCCTATTAACACTTTAAGGCGCTTTCTCATAATTGATTTCTTTATAATCGATTGCTTCACTTGTAATAATAGATCAAGAGGATAAAGAAAGTGTGTGGTAAGATACAGTACGTGTCGAGGAAAATCATACCGCCAGAAAAACGTAATGCGTTGCATACAAAGTTCCTTTTTTCAGATCTCGCACTTTTAACGTGCATATTAGTTCTGTATATGAGTAATAGAATTGCAAGGACAATACACTATATTACATAATCGTTCTTGAGAAAGCTTCTACGGTCAGAATTTTTAAATTTTCACATGTATTTAAACTTGATCACCTTCAACTTAACTATCTTTGTAAAATTGGCCAATCAACAACTTTCAAGTTACACGTATTGTCCAAATACTAACCGAACGATAAAGCACACAAAACGATCATAATAATAAACACAACAGCCAAACACTAACGTTTAGTCCGTAAGCTCTCTAGGATTCTCGATAAAACTGTTACCATGACTTCATAAAGGTTTCTGTGCCATAACTATAATTTTTGCCGATAACCAGTTCCAAATGAAAAACTGATTTAAAACGTAACATAATGGCAAATAGAAAAACTGTACGACATATTTGAAATCAGCTGTTCAGTAATACAGTAATATAGTAAGCAACACGTACTATTCATCAATTACAGAAATCTTTGACATTATATGAAACGCTACTCTACTATGGTGCTCTGTGATACTCTATGGTACATTATAAAACAATATGTCACAAATAATTGGTTGGCAGTATGACTTGAATATTCGATCAATGAACTTCCAACTGACTATGCCGTCATCCCACATGTGTTGTGTACAGGCAAAAAAAAGTGCTTTACACGTTAGATTTACATCGGGACAAAAATCCTATACACTTTCAATCTTGTGTTGGAATGATAATCAGCTTGCAATAATAAACCGCAATTTGCTCATTACAAAGTTTTTGCATCAATTCACCTTTTTCAATTCTCGTCTCTTACCAATTCTGTTTCTTACAATTATCGTCTTTTTATCAATTCACCTTTTTGTCTCTTACCAATTACCGTTTCTTACCAATTATCGTCTTTTTATCAATCCACCTTTTTGTCTCTTACCAATTTTCGTCTTTTTATCATCAATTCTCTTTTCCTACCAGTTATCATTTTTTTTCTCAATTCTCAACATGCCTGCTATCGTGAAAATTCCCGAGACAGACGCTGAATACAAAGCTATAGTCTTGTACCTCCAATCCCAAATACTTCCACCCGATGTCAAAGACTGTGCACAAAAAAAGTCTAATTTCGCTCGCCGTTGCAAAAAGTTCGAAGTCGACAAGGACCAAATCCTTTATACTAAACAAACCGCGAAGAACGAAAGGCGTCGCGTGGTTCCCAAATACGACAACGAATTACGTGACCTGATATTGAACCGGTTTCATGATCGGTCAAACCATCGTGAATACCATAAAACGTATTCGGCAATTGCAGAGAAACACATCGGGATCACGCAGGAAGAGGTACGAGCATACGTTAACGAATGCTCAGCATGCGCAATCAATACGCCAATCAAAGAAAGGACCGACATGACACCAGTTGTGTCAACAGAACCCTGGACGCATCTTCAAATTGGTCTAATTGACTTTCATGAATTTGCGGATGTTAATGATGGCTATCAATGGCTATTAACGTGTGTTTGTACCTTTTCAAAATATCTTGTGGCAGTTCCGATGAAGAATAAGGAAGCTGCCACAATCGCAAAACACCTCGTAAACGATGTCTTTAAAATCCCAGGTCCCCCTCGCGTTCTCCAAAGCGATAACAGAAAAGAATTTGTTGCAGACGTAATAAAAAATGTCTGCGACATTTTAAACATTAAAATCGAGCACGGCCGTCCTCGCCATCTGCAGTCGCAAGGGCAAATAAAGCGGCTCAATCAGACAATCGGGCGTGGCTTTACTAAACTGTTGTGGGATAGCCATAATCAACTGCAAAGGAAAGATTGGATCAACGTAATTGATGCCTTTGTCAGAACATATAACTCAACAGTGCATAGTGCGCATTCTTGTACACCGCATCAAGTATTATTCGGTTGGAAAATGCGCGGTGTCTATGACTCACCTGACACCATCCACAACAATAACAGCGATGTAAATACAGAGAGCGTGTAAATATTAGATAAAGTAATTACATAAAATTCTCATTATTTTCCGTCACTACTGTAGATATTGCGAATAAGTTCGATCTGCAAAATTTCATGATGATCACTCACTTCTGTATATGTCGCGTTTATTTTACAAGATATGATTTTAACGAAATTACGATCTATATACTCGCAGTTTTTATCGCGTCATGATATCAACTCTTCAACTTAAAGATACCAGCCCTGAACTCTACCTTTTCTTGCTTAACCATTAACATCAAGAATTCTCTCAACTCTTCAGGAGAATGTTCAAACTTGTTTGGTGCTTGGACAAATGTATTCAGCATAGTATGCATTCTCTCGAGAGTCATTTCACCGAGATTTATTAGCATTCCTTGGATGTATGACCAATATACACGCAATGCCTCTACTTTTGGATCTTCTACTGTTTGTATTGAAAATTGATTATGGTCTTCGGGGGGTATAAAATCTATTGGAGATTGAAATATGTTGTCAATAAAATTGTATATCTTTGCAGATAAACGATCTGGATCGAAGACGGGGGCACATACCATCTATTATAGCTGACTCTGCGATTTCCAGAACTATCCAAGTATCTTTCTGTATTTCTTTTAGCACACCACGATCTATCCAGAAATTCATTAACCGTCTTAGCTTCTGCGGATCTAGATTCATTTTTTTTCGATAACGCTTTCAGAGTCCAAGTATCTAATATCAGGATGGAAGACATATTTAGAATCAGCCTAATCATACTTTCATATCAAATAGATCTTTTACTCAACCTTGTTCTTGGAAATTATATATAATAGTCGCATATACGGGCGCGACGTCAAATTCAAGTGTCCTATCCTCTAACTCCAGTTCGAGATGAACTTTTCCGAGGGATGTCATCCACTGTAGCTTGCGAGTCTTTTTATACCGTTCGAAAGATTCTTCGTATCGTTCCATAGCCCTTTATATAAACCGTTATACTTGAGTTAAGCAATTACATGAATATGGCATTGAAAAGTGAAAGCACTCACTCTTGTATTGGTTGCGGTACATTGAAGTCTTCGTTCCGTAAAGTAGGCCAAAAAAGACGCGATACTATCGTCGTATGTAGTAGAGCGGACTATAGAATAGTCAATAGAATAAATCAAAAGCACTAGTAATATTACTGATCCCGTCATGTTTCCTTACCTCGTTTTCCTCTCGTCCTTTTTGCAGGGGTCCCTCCGGATACACGTAATGGTCGATCCTCTTCGAGTCAGCAATGTCTTTGATCATGACTTCAGTATGTTGCATTTTCGTTTCTCCGAAACGAAGTTTAAACAACTCAAGTTTAGTAATCTAGACATGGATAAGTAAATGCATGGCCGATGAGTATATGGTTAATAAGGTATATTACAGACGTAATTAGAATCAAAGTCTGAGCTGACAACTTTAAATAATATAGCATTAAATACTACCTCCGTCTCGGTCTCAAAGTCTGTTTTGTTAAGCAGCTTGACTCCCATTTGGTTTTGTATTTCTCTCGTGATAGGTTCCGTATCGTCAAATACACTAATTAGTAGATTAGTTATATCTGCCGACCTATACACCGATGATTTGTAATCTTAATAAACAAGTGACTTTAGTATAATGTATTTATCGAATAAAATAGATGTATCTTTCTCACTTGGTCCAGCGTCAACAGGATCAGGGACCCAGTTGTCGTTCTCAAAATACGCATCCTCTGCATCTTCGGTGGGTATAGGAATCTCTGCTTTCCCGAGTTCTTCTATTAATTCAGGATCGTTTCCTTGATCGTCTGTCCATGCGGTTACAAGACATTTGACAGTATCAGTACGTGTTCTATAATAAAGATAAAGACAACAATCGTCAATACAGTTATAAAGAGCAAAAAAAAACCATCAGAATTACAGCGAATAAACCGAACCTCAAATAGTCTCGGATAGGTCCAGTTACTTTTTCAAGTAGGACGCCGGGAGGATCGAGTAATCTCAGACATTTGATTGTCGATATATAGCCTTTGAGTATGTCTGATGTGGCAGCACCAGGGATAAGAAGACGCTTCTGAAACCTATTGGAGACAAATTTAATTATTATATTCCGCAAATGTAAACAAGACATTTTACACATTGTGACTTACGATGAATGAAGTGACTTGACTACTCGATGTCGATAGTCTTGGTCAAGACTCTTTACACAAAGCTGCAGAGAAAGAAACCATGAGAAAATATCTTTAAAGAAGACTGTTCAAACATTAATTCCAACACCTTGGTTGTTTGATACGTACGACCAAGTCATCAATAGCAGGCTTTGAATCTGGATAGTCGATTATTATATCAAAGAGTTCCGAGATTCTATTAGGTAAAACGTTAACGTTAATTTGGCAGCTAATCCACCAGCAAAAAGAGTTTTTTGCGTTGATATTGCTAGGTACCTCAAATCGCAGAACATCATACATAAATGATAATTAAGTCTTTTCGACCACACTGTCAAGCTTTCTATTAAACAAAACGTATGGTCAGATATTTGAGCTAATACTCTGTTTAAAAATGCATATCGCGAAACCCTATCTTAACCTACCATCAGCATCACCATTTTCCGGTAAGACATTGCTCAACCAAGGATACACCCATTCATATAACCATTTCGTCGCTCTCTTCAATATCGGCTTGTCAAACACGCTTCGACATCGATTTATTACTCTCTTCTCAATCTCCTCACATAATACTTCTTCAAGAGTGTCTCTTGTACGATAAATCAAATCCAAAGCCTCAAGTTCACGAGACAATTGTACAAAGTGCTGACCCAGTGCATCTAAATCTGGGGTCATTACATCGCTCTCCTTCCCATCCTCATCAACGTTCTCTTCCTCATCCGTATTAAGATTAAATAATTCGTCCTTCTCATCGTCATCCTCGCTCATTTCGTCTCCCTCGCGTTCTTTTCCCTCGTCTTTTCTATCCCTTTCATCCGCAAAACCTTCTACTTCTCCTTCTTCATCCCCACCCCTTCCATCACTTCCTTCCTCCTCGCACTTTCTATCTTGAAGAGCATAAATAGCACTCAATGCATCTTTGGATTTCCATGCAAACAGTTCCTTGGTATTAATTTTCTCTAATTTTACGCGTTGCTTCTTACGAGTTGATGGAATTCGGAAGAAACTACGGTAGAGAAGTCTGGTAAGATCTGTGAATAAAGAGGCGTTTGAGATTGATGAAGAGGTGGATGGAGTGGAGAAGGGTTTGGTCATCTCACGGAGAGAGGAATAAAGAATTGTGTGGTAGCGAGCGTGAAATTGATATAAAGTATCGGCACTAGTTCATTTTGTTATTTGGCCGTATTGCATTGAGAGTATATCCCCGGGGAACATGTTATGAAATAATTGGCATCATGTTAGTACATTCTGTTAAATATAGTACCGTAAGAAAGACTGTTATGACAAATACTCGTTGCTATATTAATGAATTAATCAACAACAGAAATCCTTGTCAATAAAAAATCTCTTATGCAAACCTAGCATACATCAATAAAAAAGGCCTTTCGCACTTCTGGTAATGCTTGTATATGTCATGAATCAGCAAAGTGTAACTGGAGAGAATAAAATACCGAACTTCACGGGATAAAGATACGCGTGTAAGGTGTGAGACCTCATCGAATTAGAAATCACACAATGTGAGTAAAAAAAGAAAAGGGGTAATTGAACAAAGTTTTAATACATCTTTTTACATACCCATTCCTTCCGCCATTGCTTCAATCTTTCATCAAATTCCCTTTCAAAGTCCTCGCAAACGGTGTCTACAAAAAAACACCATCACCAGATGTTAACTTTTTATTCGAAATGGAAAGGAGAGCTCTTTTTTACAAAATTTCCTACGTAATTCTTACCAAGATACCATTCTAATATTTTCTCGGCGATAGGCAAATGTTTAATCTTATCTAATGCATCCATAACTTCTTGTGGCGGTTTGGTATCTGAATATTATTGGGATTAGAATTAAATAGAGGCATTAGAAGCATTAAGTAAATATAGTTACCTTGTTCATTGCGCGGGTGCATCCAGTTTATTATTATATTCCATGACTTTTGACATTCAAACGCATCATATGATTACTTCTTCTATGTCATAAATGCATCCGTAATTCGAAATCAAATTCGGTAATCATTCGTACCTTTTCTAATTCCAACAGGGCTTGGAGTTTTGTCGGCTGGGTAGAGTCATATTCAACTTGCGACTCGAGTGAAGTGTTTTGATCCATATCTTACTATTGCTTAAAGGAAATGGCTAGAGAATTTCTGTGGTACAATCACCGATTATCTTTATCATTACTCACGTGCCGTCAAACATAGGTTACGGTAATCCTCGTTTGAATAAAGGCTACTCGCAATAGTTACGGGAATCCAATTTTAACATATTTGCTTTGACAGGAGACCGGCTTGGAAGATATTTGATCTAGCTGATGGATGATCCGAGAAATTGATAATTAGAGACTTCTAATACTATTTCCAATGGAGATTGATTTTTGCTCCTCTCACCTGTGTGTTAGAAAATGATTGATTAAATCTATCCCTTCCGTATACTAATATATATATACCCTAATCTTTGTCTTATCTGATGAATTACCAAAATG